CTGGCTGACCCCTGCCTCCTCCCAGGGTCACTGCCACCATCACCAACACGCCCTCCTTTCTAGGCCTGTTCTGGGTGAGTGAGTCTGAGCAGAGGCAGGGGCTAGCACTGAGGATGCTCCCACTCAGAGCATCTGTTGACCTTAGAGGCCAAGGGCTTCTCCCAGATCACCTGAGAGGTGGGAGTCAGCATCACAGGGCTCCCTCTATGGCCTCACCAGGCATACACCATCCCATGCTCTTCCGGGTCCCGCTGGGCATCTGGACTATGGCAGCCCTCCATTTGGCTGTGGGACCTCTAGCAAGTCATACCCAAAGACTCCCCTCTCTCCATCTGTGAAATGTGGTAACGAAAGTCCCATCACCCCCCAAGGCTGCCAGGCGGTCTCATGAATGCACATCCAGGCCCTGGGAGGCTTTCCTCCTGCTCAGCACTGGGTGATGCTCTCCCCCACTGTTACAGATGAGGAAACTGAGGCTCAGAAATGTGAAGTCACTCTGCTGGTGAGTGGCAGTCTGATTTGAACCCAAGCCCACCTGATGCCCAAACTGTGGCTTCCTATAACTCTCAGGTAGACCAACAGGGGTGGTCCCCACAGGCTTCATTTTCTCTACCTTGAACTCTCTTCGGGGAAGACACCCACCCACCCCCATCACCACCAGGCTCTTGATGGGGCCAGGGGGACCCAACCTACCCCAGAGCACCTGCCAAGAATGGCAGATAGAGGCTTGATCCACAGGTGGAGGTGGGTGGAAAAGTAGTGTGTGTGTGTGGGTGTGGGGGGGGGGGTGGGCGTGTGAAAGAGAGAAAGAGAGAGAGGGACAGAGAGAGGGAGAGAGGGACTGGAGGCTCAAAGGGTTCCCATGAGAGGGAGTCCCAGCCTACCAGCTGCAGCACCATTCCATTCGTGGGCCCGTGCTGCCCCCATGCGGATAGCAGGCTCACATTCCTGGCTGGGGACACTGCAGCACTCCGGGGCCAGAGGCCCCCCCAGAGGGAAAATCGGTGGCCTGGGGCTGTTGAAGACATACCCAGTGACCTGAGGGATGGGCTGCACCTCCAAGCCTCCGCTTGATCTGTCCTCTCTTTTCCTGCCAGGCCCCGAGCCCCACGCTGGCGTCACACGCTGCCCACCACCTTTCCTTCTTCAGGAACTTTGAATCCCAGACTCCCAGAGATAAGTGAACTTAAAGGTTATATTCTCCAACCCTCTATCCCATACTTCATCCTCATCTTCAGTAATTAAATCATTGCTTGCATACCTCTTGTACAAGAGAGCTCACTGCTTCTGGGAACTCACTGCTCCATAGTTCGGAGGAAATTCTGATTGATCTGAAATAATCCTCATCCATGGAGCTGGTATTGGCCTTCCTCAGTCACAGCTTTGCCTTCTGTGGCCACATAGAGCTAGGTGGCCTCTCACTTGGGAATTTATAAGCAGATCCAAAGCCACTGCTCAGGGGGGCTCCTCTTCTGTGCCCCCCCCCCCCAGTCTTCTACAGGAGAACATCCTGGTTTCTGATAACCCACCCACAGTCCCTCTTATCTGGTACACTGGGGGTCCCTGTCCCTCTGGAACTGAGGGGACTCTAGCCTGAGGGGAATCTGGACCCCTGAGGACTGTCCCTTCCCTCCAGCCTGACCCTCCCTTGGATCCTGTCCTCACTTTTAGCATTCACTTGCCTCTGAAATTCTTTCCCTGAGCCTTCTCCCCGTCTCCAGAGGCCTTGTGGGGAAAAAAGCATAAATGAGACTGACAATGATTGAGCACCTAATGTGTACTCAGCACAGTGTTCAGTGCTTTACTCAAATTATCCACTGTCACCCTGTGGAGCAATTACTGTGTTTGTCCCCAGGTTACACTCAGAATGAAGCTTAGAGAGCAGAGATCTGACCTGGTCAAAGAGCTGACTCTTATCCCTGTGAAATCCCTTCAGGCTGATTGGCTTCTTGTCTCTTGATTCTGCCATCTGCCTGGGTTTGTGAAGTGTGTACATTTAATTCCTCAAATACTTATCAGGCCCCCACATGCACCTGGACCTGTGCCAGGCACAGCAAAAATAATCCCAGATGTCTCCAATCCTGTTACTTTGGTGAATGGGCCCTACTGGATCCTACTTGGACTGTGGCTCTGGACAAGGCCTGGGCAAGACAATGCCACTGGAGGCCACGTGGTTCAGGTGGGTCACATCCAGCCTCGTCCAGTGCAAGGTTTATCTAGGCCTCCCCTCTCCAGCTTGTGCCCAAGGCATCGGCAAGGGGCCTGGTTGATAGACACTCCGCTGAGTCTAGCTAGTGGCTCTGCCCCAGGCTAGGCCACTGAGGATGGAAGGTGGACCCAGGCCTCCACATGGACCTGAAATGGGGCAAGAGCTGCTCATTCATAGAGGGTGGAAGTGTGTCAACCTTGGAGGAAAGGTTACATTTTTCACCTTTTTTGTGTCAGAGACTGCTTTGGCATCTGGTGATGTTTACTGACCTCTTTCAGAATAATGCATTGTTGTGGTGGGTTTTTTTGTTGTTGTTGTTTATTTACTTATTTATTTTAAGTACTCTCTACGCCCAATGTGGGGCTTGAACTCACAAGCCCTATATCAAGCGTCATACACTCTTCTGAGCCAGCCCCAGAATAATGTTTTTAAAGGTTTTTTTTTTAATTAAAAAAATGCTTATTTATTTTTGAGAGTATGAGCAGGGGAGAGGCAGAGAGAGGGGGACAGAGGATCCAAAGCAGGCTCTGTGCTGACAGTAGTGAGACCAACATGAGGCTTGAACTCATGTGAACCATAAGATCATGACCTGAACCAAAGTCGGATGCTCAACCAACTGAGCCACCCAGGAGTCCCATATTCCTTTTTTTTTTTTTAGTTTATTTATTTATTTATTTTGAAAGAGAGAGAGAGAGAGAGAGAGAGAGAGAGAGAGAGAACAAGCAGGACAGGAGCAGAGAGAGGGGGAGAGAGAGAACCCCAAGTAGGCTCCTCAGTGTCAATGCAGAGCCTGATGCGGAACTCAAACCCACAAACTGCAAGATCATGACCTAAGCCAAAGTCAGATACTTAACCAACTGAGCCACCCAGGTGCCCCCCCCCAACACATACACACACCAATAATGTTTTCAAATGAGCAAAATAAAACAGGACCACAAAGGATTTTCATGAACAGGGAAGGATGTCCATGAATTATGACTGAATGAATACAATTGTCACAAAAGAGCTTTCACGGAAAAAGAATGAGAGAAAGAAAGGAAGGGAGGGAGGGAGGAAGGAGGGAGGGAGGGAGGGAGAGGGAGAGGGAGAAAGAGAGATGGAGGTGAGGGAGGGGTGAAGAGGGGAGGGAAGGATGAAGGGAGGGAGAGAAGAAGGGAGGGGGGAGGGAGGAAGGAAGAAGGAGGGAACTATCCCTACACATAAGGCTGGCCCTACCATCTTGCCTATTGAAAGGCATGGCAGGCAAGTGGCTCTAGGTCATGTTCCCTTTTGGCTCCTGAACAAGTCCCAGATCAAAGCTCCCCACTCTTGTCACTGCTCCCCCTTTGACAGGCAGCTGGGATTTCACCCTGGGCCAATCCCTATAGCAGCTCCAATGTTAATGGATGGCCATCACCTGTCTTTGAATCTGCCTCCCCTGTCAGACTACGGCTCTCTGCTCACTGCTTGCTCTGCCACTGTTATAACAACCTGGCAAAACTAAGTCCCGAGCAGATGTCCACATCTTCTTTTCCCCCTTCACCCCCCAACTCTCTGCAATATGCTCCTGTCACTCCGTGAAACCACCTTGCCAAAGAACGTCCGTTCAGCAGGTGTTTATTAAGTTCCTGTTCTACATCAAGTCCTATGTCAAGCAATGGGGAAGTAACAGTGACCAAACCAGTCCTGAACTCATGGCACTTGTGCCAGTGGACACGCACACAAGTAAATATAGCACATAATTAGAGTCTGGAAAGTTCTATGAAGGAAGCAAAGAGAATGAGAGGACACAGAATAACTGAGGAGATGGAGTAGAGTGTATCTATTTTAGATAGGGTGGGCAGTCTTTGGGAGACCTCTCCAAGAAAGCACACCATCCAAAGAGCATAGTCCAGGGAGAAGGTAGTCCAGTCAGAGAGGATAATAAGTGCAAAGGCCTTGAAGTCAGAACAAGCATTTGTACTTGGCAGGAAAGGAAAAAAGCCCATGGGTTTGGAGAGAAGTGAATGATATGGAGAAGACTGCCAGGGTTAGGGGAAGTAAAGAGTTTCTTTCCAAATGCAAGAGGAGGCCTTTGAAGACTTTCAATGACAAGGTCTGATTTGTGTCTTTAACCGTGCCCTCCGGTCCCACTGCTGTGTGGAGATGAACTGTGGAGGGGGAGAGGGGAAGAGGGAAAAGTTGTCAGGAGGAAACGCCCGACTCATTTTGGATGTCCCACAGGCGTGTCACATTTAATGCATCCAAACAGAAACATCTGGATCACTGGCCTCCTCAAAGCAAAGCAATAAAAGCCCTGTCCCTCCCAACCTTCCCCACTTCTGTGAACAGTACCAGCATTCATCCAGACGTTCAAGCCAAAAATTTAGGGGCCACCTGGCCTCCCTCTCCTCCCTCATCTTCTGCATCCCAAGTCCAGTCTACTGATCCACTCTTCCCCATACCGGCCGCCCTGGCTGGGTTCCAGGTTCCCCCACTCTCCAGTGGCACCACGGAGAAGACGGCACCAGCCGCCCCACACCTCCCCCGCTTCACTTCTGCCCCCTACAGTCCATTCTCCGCACAGCAGCCAAGGTACTTTTAAAGAACACAAGTCTGTCACTCCTTTCCTAGCATGTATTCCTCAGGGTCTCCCTTCGTCTTCGGGACCTTTAATGAGAACTGGGCCCCAAGAGCCTAGTCCAGGAAGAATAAACGTGGGTAAAACCTGCAGGAAGCTGCGCGAGGCTCGTAGCGCCGCCTTCCCATCTGGCTTGTACCCTCCCAGGCTTCGGAACCTTTCTTCCCGGCGCTGGGGGAAGCTTTTCCGGAAGAACCTTCCGGCCCGGACGACCCTATTTCCCGTGCTGCACAGCGGCCTTCCTCTTTCTCTTCCGGTCCAAGGCGCTTCGGGAGCCGCGGGCTTTGGTGAGTTTTGGCCGCGCGGTATCCGGAGCCATCCGCGGCTCCCAGCCAGCTGCCGGGCGCAAACCCCGCGAAGGACAGGGAGACCGGCTGCGTGACTGTGGGGAGCGGAGGGCGCGGAGCGCGCGGAGCGCGCGTGGTGCTTGCGGGTTCTCAAGGAGTGGATGGGAGGGGGAGGACTCGGATTTGGGGTAGAGCGCAGCCTTGGGAGGGAGGGTTGGTTTCAGGGCACTGTTACCCGAGTTCTGGAGGCGGGGACCGGCGTCGGGTCGTGCTGAGTAAGTTGAGGCCGGTGGAGGCCGCAGATGCAAGGCAGGCATCTGTGTGCAGCTTCATTCCGGCTTCTGGCCCACGTCCTTCCACATCAGGGCGGCAGTGATAGGCCCAGCCCTGTGAGCCCCCGGGCCTGACCGCTACTCTCCTCTTCCAGGTGCAGATATGGCCAAGTCCAAGAACCACACCACGCACAACCAGTGTAAGTTCCCCTGGCCCAACCTCTTATCTCACACTTCAGACCCTGACAAGAACTAGGGATGCGGGGCAGGGCAAGGGGGCACATTTCTACTGTGGGCCTGGGGCTGATTTTGTTTTCAGTCACTGTTACCTTTGGGTTATAGTTGTTGAAGCCAGGCATCCGCTTGAGATACCCACCGTGCTTTGCATTCAATGATAAGGGTTATTCCAGATCTCAAGAAGGCCTACTCTGGGAAGTAATGGTTTTTCCCAGGCTGGCCAGCTGTGATGTTGGGTGGTCTTACTAGAGCAAATCTCATTTGGTCTAATTCCTTTGCTTCCTCACAGCACGGAAATGGCACAGAAATGGCATCAAGAAGCCCCGGTCACAAAGATACGAATCTCTTAAGGGGGTGAGTGTGTGTGCCGCATCACATACAAGTGTGTCTGTTTGGCCCCAGTTGCACCATCAGAGAGCCTTTCATGTATCTTTTTCTGGCTTCAGCATCTGCCTGAGCACCGTTATGAACTGTCTCTTGTCTTACCTGGACTACCAAAGTCCACGGTTTCTCTATCCAGCCACCTTTTGCTTGGACTTGAAGTTATGCCAAACCCATAAGAAACCTTTACTTGGCTTTTCCCAGCCCAGGTCGTAACTCCCTGGTCAACTGTAACCTGCCTCCTGAGGGTAGTTTGACCATCCCCATTGTTTATCCAGAGCACTTGAAGGGAGGGAATGGCTTTATCTTTGTGTACTGCGCACTTTGTGAGAGTCTTCCATTCTTATAGTCACATGACCTTGATCTGACCCGGTGCTGAGCTTGGGGGGTCAGCTTTCCTTCCTGTGCCAAGGAGTTCCAAGAATTGGCTGAGAAGGCTGAGGCTACAGGGTCTAAGCAAGAGAACAGGGTCCTGTCTCTTCCCTGTGCCCTTGGTCTCTGATCTGTGGAAGGAATCTTTGAATTTCACAGCTTCAGTTTCCCCATCTTGATTTCTTTTTCAGCCTTCTTTGCCATGAATCTGTTGTACCAGGTTTGGTGTTTAACTGACACTTTCCTTAAAAGAGGTGGGGATGGCCCTGAGGGGTTTCAGGAAAACTGAGCTGACGCCCTGCAACCCTGGCAGAAGGGGCAGCCTTCATTTGTTCTTTCCTTCTGCACTTGATTTGAGCTCTCTTGGGCTCTGGGCATGTAGCCCGGAAAATGTGGTGTGTGTGGAGTATTAGGGTGGAGTGTTGGCTTCTGGGGTTGTAGTACGTGTTTCTCTTCAGGTGATTTGTGAGGGGTGTATATTTCAGCATTTAAGTTTGACTGTCTACCTCCCCAGTAGGCCTTGGCTGGAGCCCAGCAATCTCCTGGGTACAGCTGTGGAGAGGGCCACAACAGGTGACTTGGGGCCCACGTGTTGCACTTACAGTGTCTGCTTTTTTTTGCCTTCCAGGTAGACCCCAAGTTCCTGAGGAACATGCGCTTTGCCAAGAAGCACAACAAGAAGGGCCTGAAGAAGATGCAGGCCAACAACGCCAAGGCCATGAGTGCACGTGCTGAGGCTATCAAGGCCCTTGTCAAGCCCAAGGAGGTCAAGCCCAAGATCCCAAAGGGTGGCAGCCGCAAGCTCAATCGACTTGCCTACATCGCTCACCCCAAGCTCGGGAAACGTGCTCGTGCCCGCATTGCCAAGGGTCTCAGGCTCTGCCGGCCAAAGGCCAAGGCCAAGGCTCAAACCAAGGCCCAGGCTGCAGCTGCAACTCCTGCTCCAGCTCCTGCTGCAGCTCAGGCTCAGGCTCCCAAAGGTGCCCAGGCCCCCACAAAGGCACCAGTGTAGAGGTTTCCATCTGCCAGTGTGAGGGTAGAAGGACTGGTGTGACCCCTGGGCTTCTATCTGCACGGGGCTGGTGTCCTCCTGTGCTATTTGTACAAATAAACCTGCGGCAGGATCTGTCAGTTGGCCTGTGTCTGTGATCCTGGAAGTTGGTACCTCCATTTTTTGCTTTCTCTCGGTGGTAGGGTATGGGTGGGAGTCAGGGGAAATGGGGTTCTGGAGTGTAGGAAGGGGACCTGGTAAAAGAAATGGTGGTGGGCCTTAGGGAGGCTGGAGCACATAGCCTGCTGGACTAGGCAGGCTGGTGAGGAAAGTAATCACAAACATCCTGATCTTTGAATTTACCCAGGAGATAAAGGACCCTGCTGAATTCTGCACTCTGGCCTGAGCCATTCCACACTTAAGCTGTTCCTAGTGTACATGGCCAGCATCCACTATTCCGGTTGTTCTGGTCCCCCCAAGCGCTGGGGGCCCTGGCAGGCAGGGCAGTGGTGGCACTGTCTTCCTAGTGCAACTGCTCCAGACCCTGCTGTGCACCCTGGATCAGCTGCTTTATTTGCAAAGTCTTCGTCCTTAGAGGAGTCAATGAAGCAAGTGGTACAGTGGTCATTGGTATCTGGGGGCTTCCTATAGAAGGTGCCAAGCATATCACTGTTCCTGGTCACCGAGTCCTCAAAACTCACTTTTGAGTATGGTGATCATATAATTTGTGAACCAGCCTTGGGCACTTGTCTCAAGGATTTCACTTCCTTACTCTGGGGTACTAGCTACAACCCATGATAAATGGTCTCCCTTCTGAGGTAGGTATTACTATTCTTTTTGTTTTACAGGGAAGGAAATTTGTTCCTAGATGATGGGGCTAGGCTGGGATGGAAGTCGCATTGGGACCCAGGCAGCCCATGCTGGGCCCCAGAAAGTTTGCTTGGCCAGCCAAGGCTGGGCTACTAGCTCATGACTGTCATCCTGGCATGCTCTGGATGGCCAACTGCCCCATTACCAGGGGATGTCAGGTGGGGTCTTGAAAGGGACCAAAAGCAGGTTTTATGTCCTGAAGGTAGCTTGGCCCAGCCTGAGGTTACCAGGTCATGTGGCTTCCACTAAGGCCTGTGCTCTAATCCCCAAGAGAGGGGGCATAAAGACTCCTTTGCCCAGTCATCCTGCTGCAGTCTGAAGGGGGAGGCCAGACCCTAGGTCAGGGGCTTCAACTAGGCTTACTGAACATCACAACCAGCTTGCTGCACTCAGCTTTTGCATGGAGCCTCCCTTGTGTAGAAGCACAGGTCCCCAGTTCTTGAGTCTCAATTCTTTGTGGACTCCCATTACCTGCAAGCTATGCAGTCTTGGACAGGGTATTCTAGCAGAGCTTCTAAAGGGGTTCCAGTGAAACCTGCATCCAGGGGCTGCTGTGAGGGTTCAAAGGTAACAAAGTCCTGGCTCCTTGTCAGAACTCCAGGTGCAGGGGTTACTACCATGGGGACTAAGCCTGCAGACCACAGAACCAGGCTGTGGACTTCCCTCTGGCCACTATCAGCACTTAAAAGCCCAGCCATACCTGTCCCACCCAGTTCCTGTGGAGGCCAGAACAGGACTAGATCGGATAAGCTAGAGGAACAGGCTCAACTCTCAGGGCCACAGTGACTCTTGGTACTGCCTAGAGCCCTAGCAGTGCTGACAGACTGAAGCCCCCATTCGTGAGCCACTCTGCACACTGATCCTTCCCTACACAGGGTGCTGAGGACCCTAAAGTCACCTAACCAGGTCTACCAAGGCTCCTGCCCCTCTGTGACTCAAGCTCCCAACACCAGAGCAGGCGCCACACCTGTCATCCCTAGGGTCTGGCAAATGCGAGCAGTCATGACTTGCTCATTATCTGCCTGCCCCGACATCTGGCAGGGCCCACCTGGCCTCCAGTTCTAGTTCTATCTCAGGATCCCAAGTGTGTTTCCAGAAAGCCAGGAATGTTTCCCTGAGATCTTTGTCTTAGTTTCCCCCTCAACGCAGATGGTATCCCCGACCTTAAAAATCAGATATAGGTATAGTGATCATTGAGAACAAGAATTATGGTCCTTTGATGCCAGACAGGGCTGGGTGGTACTGAATGAGCATGCCGTGTCGAGGGGCACAAGAGCAGCATAGGGTGCTAGAGACATATCCAGAGCCAGGCTCAGTTTCCTCATCTGTGAACTGGGGGTGATAACAGCATGTCCACAAAATGACAGAATCCCTGCTTCATGAACATCCTTGCTCTTAGTACTTCAGAACTGGCCCCTGTCCGCACACAGACTTTATTGTGGGGCAGGGGGGCAGAGAGGTACTTAACACTGGTCAGGATGGACACTCCCGGGGTAGAGGTTGGGGAGCCTGGGACTCAGCTCTCACTGGGCAGGGCAGGCACGCTGGCCAGAGCAGGCAGCAACCGTGTGTATATGTCAACCCCACGGAGGAACACAGCCTCATGCAGACGCTCATCGTGGTCATGCAGCAGCACGGGTGTGCAGTTCATGGGTGAGAAGCCCAGAGCTGGGACCCCCACCTGCAGGGAGCAAGGAGAAGCTGTTAGGAGGAAGGCCAGGATCCAGGCCCACCCACTGCTCATCCATTGCATGAGGCTCACCGCACGGAGATAACGGCTATCGGTGGCAGCTGGGAAGATCTCCGGCTCCAGAGTGAGGTTCCTGCCGAGGGAAGAGCCTGGTGAATGGGGAGGCAGTGAGGGGAGAGGGCAAGGGAAGGACTGAAGGGACAAGGAAGGTGGAAGGGAGGTAGGGGAAGGACAGAGGAAAGGGAAAGGCTGGCCAGTATGCTCACATGTCCTTGAAGACCCCACTGAATGCTGCCCACCAGGGATCTGAGTCATTAGTAGATGTCACTCGGGACTCTGTCCACTTCTGGGGGGAGGGGAAGGAAGGCAAGATCAGGACAGGGCCCGGACATCTTGCCCTATTCTTCATAGGGTGGGCTGTGCCTGCCACAGGCACACATCCAACCCCCACTCCCCACCCTGGCCTCAATCCACCTATTCAGATGTCCAGCTGGCCAGTCCAGCCACAGGTCTGGGACCTTGCCCTGCTCTCCATCTTCTTACTTCCTGTCCATCCTTCATATCCTAGGCCAAGTGGCCCTTCCTCAGGTTGGCTCTCCCAGACCTCTCAGACTGGCTGAATATTCGTTATGGGTTGTCAGAGTGTGGGGTCCCACCCTTTTCTGAACCACATGTGTTCATACTTATGTAAAAGTAATATTATACAAATGTCCAATTCAGGTCTATTCCTTTTTTCGTGCTGTAAGGACTAGAAGGCCATGAACTGTGCCTAATTTTACTCCTATGCTATGCTCAGCACCCAACAGTGGCCTCCATGACTAATGCTTGTTGGTGAATAAAATGTGTCTCTCATAGCTAAAGCAATGTCTAGATATATGCATGCACACCAAGCACACACTCCCACTGTGACCCACACTCAGCCAGCCCGGTCTCCCCTGTGCCCACGGCTCCCCGACCATGGGTCCCCAGCCGATACCTGAATAAACTCGAAGGTGACTCCCTCGCCGGCTGCCTGGCACCAGCCCTGCAGCTGCTCCTCGAAAGCCTATGAGAAGGGAGATGAGCTGACCTCTCGGGCTCTCCCTGAGCCTCCAAGATAGGTTTGAGGACCTGGCTCCCTCCTTCAAACCCAGGCAGAGGTGGCACCTTCAGGTCTACATCCGGTGCCACACGGAAGTCAAAACTGGCGCTCATAGTAGCAGGTACCACATTGCAAGCCACGCCGCCCTCCAGCTTAGTCAGGTTCACAGAAGTCACAGCCCCCTCCTTCAGGTGGGGGTTTGACTGCAGCCTGCGGTGGGAGACAGGGCAGGGGCAGTAGGGGGAACCTCCTTTCTCTCCTGCACAGATGCTCAGACCCCCACCCTCTTTCCCAGGCTGCCTTACCTCTGTCTCTCCTTCTCTCGAAAAGCCAGGATTGAGCTCACGACCTTGTGCTAGGAGAGTGTGAGATCGGATGTGAGAGTGGCCCTGGGATAGAGCCTTGGGAATTCCCAAACTCCCTCCCTGTGTGCCACGCACCAGCTTCTCTGCTGCTGTGTCCTCAATGAAGCGTGAACCGTGACCCGGCTTCCCGATGCTTGTGACCCGCACCCCTGGGAAAAATGAGTGAGAAGTGGGTGTCTTAAGCATGGGTAGGGCTGAAAAAGTATCAGCCCTGGGGTGGACCCAGGTCTTCCCCTCATTCCAAGCTCCTCTGGCAGGGCTGTCCCCCACAGAATGCACAGTGTAGAGCTGGCTTCTGCTCATGGCAGGGGGTTACCCTAAGAAGCTCAGGAAGGAGAAGCCCAGGTAGGAAGGGTCTGGGAGGCAGAGGCTCTGGGTTCAAGGCCTACTCAGGTCCAAACCTGCTGCATGACCCTGGGCAGGCCCCTGCCCCTCTGGCCCAGCACCCCATCTGCACAGTGACACCCTCCTGCCGAGCCCATACTCACACCAGGGGCTCCGCTCACTATAAAAGACAGTGAAGGCATCGGCGGGGTTGGCCAGGCCTGGGGAGGAAAAGGGGATTCAGAGGGTGGAGTGGCCCAGCCCCCACTAGCAGATTCCCTATCCCCTACTGGCCGCTCAGGGGCCTGCCACCCTGCTCACCCTCATCGAGGGCAAAGCCAGCCCTAAGAGCCTGGAACTCGGGCCGCTGCACAAACAGCTCCATGCCTTGGTGACCCCCAACCTCCTCATCTGCAAAAGCAACAAGGACATGAGATGAGGGAGCCACCCTCACCAACACATCCTCCTCCCTTGAAAGTGTCCCTCCCCAAGCCACTCCTACCTGGCACAAAGGTCATGTGGATGGTTCTGGGGAAATGGTGGCCCTCAGCCTTCAGCCTCCTCACAGCCTCCAGGTACCTGAGGGGCAATGACAGGAGGTAAGCCAGGTGTCGAGGGAGCTACCAGATGCTTGGGTGGGCAGGCTGGAGCCCTGGGCCCTGGGCCCTACTCTGCCACAATCTGGTAGGGGGACTCTGGGAAATCCCTGTCCCTCAGTCTCCCTATCCATGTAATGGTGGTAATTCCTGTCCAAGGTAAGGGGTCAAGATGTTCCTTGGCCTTGAGTTTCTCCAATCACACCCCAGGTCC